CCCAGTTGGGGCCCGTGTCTGTAAAGAGTTTGCACATGCTCTCTGCGTCTGCAGGGGTTTTTCCCTTGAGGCTCCAGTTTCCTCCCACATGCCAAAGATGTATACGTCAGGCGCACTGTATATCTAAATTCTCCCATATGAGTGAGTATGCTCTTCAACGGAATGGTGTTCTGTCCAGGGTCAGTTCCCACCTTCTACCCTGAGCTGCTGGGATGGGCTCTGGCCACTCTTGACCCTGAACTGGAATAAGTGGGTTGGAAAACGATTGTCTTGTTTTTATCCATCTTTCTTAAATGTATGTATAGCTTACATTTGTTTCAATGTTTAGTATTAGAAGTGTCTGGGGTCTTTAGTTCGAAGTTTGGTGATGTTTTTGTGACCAGAAATATGCCATAGGAACTTAAGTCTTGTTTATATCAACTAGCCTGTGGTAACATTGGTTTTATTTCATTTTGTTTAAAGTTGCAGTTTCCAAGAATCTATCAACAACATTGAAGACTTACTGTATATCTCTTACCCTCAAATGATTCAAAAAAAATATATGGGGTGTATGTGTCTATCTATAAATATATATATATAAATATATCAATGTATTATATATCTCTATTAATAGGGAAGAAGAGGGAGAGAGAAAATGTACACAAATAGAGTAAAAAGTTAACAAAAGGTGTATGGGTTATTTTTTGTACTCTTAAGACTACCTTCCAACTTTCCTGTAAGTTTGAAATTATTTCCAAATAAAAAGTTTAAAAGTTATTTTTAGGACTTCCAGCCAAGATGGAGGCATAGGTGGACGCACTGTACCTCCATGCACAACCAAGATTGGAACAACAATAATTTAGAGGCCGAATAACACCCAGAATTGACAGAAAATTGATCTGAATGGAAGTTGGACAGCCAAGAAGTTGAAATAGACCCATTTATCCAGACTGGTAGGAGGGGCCAAGACAAGCAGCCGGGCACAGGTCACAGGGCAGGTAGCAGCGCAGAGAACAGGGAGAGTTGGGCGCCTAAGGCAACCGGGAGCACCTAAGGCATCTGGGGTGTACAAGATTGCAGCGGGTGGACCCTGAGTACACAAGGGGCAGCTGGCAGACCCAGTGAGGCTGCGATTGTGGAGCAGGGCAGATTGCGCAACCCAGGATCCCAGGAAAGGGACTGAGGTCCCACGGAGAATGGAGCTACCGCCATTGTTCCCTCTTGGCCCCGCCCCCACATATGACATCACAACTCAGTGACTGGGGAGTCCCACCCTGGTGAACACCTAAGGCTCCACTCCTCACTGTAACAGGAGTGACCAGACCAAAAAAAAAAAGAGAGAGAGAGATGGCTCAAACAGAAAAACAAATCAGTGCCCCAGAACTCATCCTTTTGAGTGACCAAGAGATAGCTAACCTATTAGATGCACAGTTCAAAACACTGGTGATCAGGAAGCTCACAGAATTGGTTGATTTTGGTCGCAAATTAGATGAAAAAATGCAGGTTACCATAAAGGAAATGAAGGAAAATGCACAGGGAACCAATAGTGATGGGAAGGAAACTGGGACTCAAAACAATAGAGTGGACCAGAAGGAAGAAAAAAACAACCAAACAGGAAAGAATGGAGAAATAAGAATTCAAAAAAAGCAAGGAGAAGCTTAGGAACCTCCAGGACATCTTTAAACATTCTAACATCCAAATTATAGGGGTACCAGAAAGGGAAGAGGAAGAGCAACAGATTGAAAACGTATTTGAACAAATGATAAAGGAGAACTTCCCCATTCTGGTAAAGGAAATAGACTTCCAGGAAGTCCAGGAAGTTCAGAGAGTCCCAAAGAAGTTGGACCCAAGAAGAAACACACCAAGGCACATCATAATTACGTTAGCCAAGGTGAAAATGAAGGACAGAATCCTAGAAGCAGCAAGAGATAAGGGGACAGTCACCTACAAAGGAGTTCCCATCAGACTGTCACCTGATTTCTCAAAAGAGACCTTACAGGCAAGAAGGAGCTGGAAAGAAGTATTCCAAGTCATGAAATACAAGGACCTATATCCCAGATTACTCTATCCAGCAAAGCTTTCATTTAGAATGGAAGGGCAGATAAAGTGCTTCTCAGATAAGGTCAAATTAAAGGAGTTCATCACCTCCAAGCTCTTATTTTATGAAATGTTAAAGGGACTTATCTAAAAAAGAAGATAAAAAAAACATGTATAGTAAAAGGACAGCAAACTCACAATTATTAACAACCACACTTAAAGCAAAACCAAAAGAAACTAAGCCAACAACTAGAATAGGAACAGAACCACGGAAATGGAGATCACATAGAGGATTAGCAACAGGGGAATGGGAGGAGGAGAGGGGGAAAAAGGTACAGAGAATAAGTAGCATAGATTGTAGGTAGAAAATAGACAGGGGGAGGGTAAGAATAGTATGAGAAATGTAGAAGCTAAAAGAACTTATAAGTATGACACATGGACATGAACTAAAGGGGGGGAATGTGGGTGGGAGAGGGTGTACAGGGTGGAGGGAAGTGAAGGGGGGAATGGGACAACTGTAATAGCATAATCAATAAAATACATTTTTAAAAAAGTTATTTTTAAAAGGGAGAGGGAACAGTTTCAATTTTCACTCCCAGCATTGGGACAATTCTTTTAGGTTCTTTCTCCATGTGCAAAATGAGATCTAAACTGATGTCTGAAGACTATTCTGTGCTAAATGTGTGTAGAGATTGTGAAGAGAGTCAATCAGAGCCCCTTTAAGAAACTGATCTAGAGGAAACAACACCCAAAAAGTACCACTTTGATTCTTCTCATTGGGACACTGCTAACATCTAACAATGGATTTCTATTTCTGCGAAGTCTCTTATCTTCAGAATTAGAGAAAAAGCAGTATGCATGTGTGTATTATATATATATATTTCTCTCCATAGTGTGGCTGCCTGAGTTTATTTCACACATATATTGCAATTCTCTGTATTATTATTATATGTGGTTTACTCTAAGTTCTACCTAAAAGAGGGAGAAGGGCATTTTCTTTAATTCAACCACTGACACTATTTATAAAGGCATCACAAATATGTTATTCATTCTAAAGAGAAATACAATTGCTTTTTAAAATTTAAATGCAGGTTAATCATACTATGCCTGGTGCATCTGACCTTAGTTTTCTTATGATACCTAGGGTGATGTGTTTGTGTTATGTGTTCAGTGGGCAATCAATAAATATTGACTGATTTTATGTTGAGTTGATACTCTTATTTCTCTAGGATCAGATTCATAGGGCTTTAGCTTCAAAGTGCTTATTTTTCTTCTTTGAGCAAATTCCACTTCGGTTTGCTGTTACTATTCACCAGAGACTTGCTCACACAGTACTTACTGCTAAAGGAACCCAAGCGGTCCATTCCTGAATTAGCAAAGACTGCGGCTTTGATCTTCCTCAGTGCAGTGCCCCTTAAAGGAGATTTCAGAGCTGGCCGACACAAATGCCAAAGCTCGATGATCCCCTATGAACAAACAACAGCGGCACACAGATCAGGAAATCATTCAAAGGAACAAGATAAAGAGAAGACAGTGCAATGTACTGAACTCTACTACTTCCGAACTTTGTAGCATTAAGCAAGTATTTTATCTCTATAAGTTTGTGTCCTCCTCTCTAAAATGGGCGTGGTTATAATAGTATCTAACTCCCAGAGGTGTTTTGAGGATTAAATATCAAAATCCATATAAATAATGTACTGTGGTGCCTGGCCCATGGTAAGGCCTCTACAAAAAGCTACATAGCTCTAATAACAACTACTGGTTTCCTCTGTCTAGCTGCACTTCTCTCCTTCTTTGGGAAACTGACTCTCAGACATTTCACACGGTTCAGAGGGGTTGCCAATTGTGATGCTCCAACTACAAACCCCACAGCAGCTAAAGCAACCAGATCTCTTAGAGAAATCTGACCCGGGAATAAGACATACAAGGACAGAAGGCAGTTAGAGCTCAGTCATTCATTAGTCAAAAAATCTGGGAGAAAGAGAGGGAGAGAAACATCAATGTGTGGTTGCCTTTGGAGTGCCTCCCACTGCCCAGGCATGTGCCCTGACTGTGCATTGACCCTGCGGTGACCCTTTGGTTCCCCTTTGGTTTGCTGGCGGTGCTCAATCCAGCAAACCACAACAGCCAGGGCTGCACAACATCTTACAGGTAGTGAATAGCAGCGCCATTTTCAACAGTCGTTACTAGATAGGGCTAAGTAAAAGATGTTTAAACAATCTGATAACACTCCACATCGTAAGCACAAAATTGTAATAACATCCATGAAAAGATGGATGCTAGCTCCAAAATTAACATTTACCAAGTTCAAAGATGTTACTGGTAGGGCGGAAGGTACGTGAAGAACAGCATTCAGTGTGGTGTGGGGGACAGGTGCAGGCTGTGCAATTTTTGACAAGGTTCAAATTCTCCTTTAGTTCCTTATTAGCTGCAAGACCTTGGGTAAGTCACTTTGCCTGAGCCTCCATCAGCCTCAGCTCTAGCTGGGAGCTTAAATGCCTACTGTGGAAGGCTACTGGAAAACTCAATGGGAAACGTCTGTAGTGGCAAGACACAGTGGCTGTCCCTAGCATAGGTAGGCGCTGCACGGCGCAAACCGGAATGCCTAAACTGGGACAGCACGGAGCCACACCGAGCACCGGACGCACCGAGCACGTCGCGGGGCGGGGCCGAGAGGTCAAGCCCCGCCTTCCCTCAAAGCGCGACGTGGCCCGACGCCGCCTGCCCGCCCCCCTGCCGCGTGTTCCCCGCCGCCCAGGCTCGGAGCCTGACCTTGATCCCCGCAGCACTTCGTGGTCTCCACCTCTTCCTCGTGCCTTTAGAGAGGCTCGAGCCCCGCCGTCAGCCCTGCAGCTCCTGGAGCCTCACTTCACCGTGCCCCCACCTCCGCGCCGAGAAGCAGCCAGACACGTGCGCGCTCCTGGGTTTGCGTGCTCGCTCCCGAGCAGCGCAAGCGCGAGCTCGCCCCTTCCCGGCCGCGTACCGCGAGCTGGTCGTCTCCACCCTTTTCCCTCCCTTGCCCTTTGGGCCCCGCCGTGTGTGGCTCGCTTGCCTCAAGCCCCTTGGTCCGGCCGGGACCTCCCCTTGTGCCGCTCCCGACCTATGGCAGAGGCCTGGGAGGATGCGGGTGAGCAACTTGCCCGACTTTGAGTCCGACCAGTAATCACATGTCCCGTAAAGTGCGTTGCGGGTCGCCTGGTGCCGGCCTGTGGTGCTGTTTGATCCCCTCCGGAGTGCCGTGAGGCGGGGCGGGCCTGTTCTGGTCTGCTTTTGTGTATTTAACATTCTCACTCCTGTTGCAGCAAAGGAAATTGAAGTCAAGGGACTCTGGCCGTTTCTGGAATCGGGGTCTTGAAGTGCTGCTCATGGATTAACCAGACTGAATGGTGTAGGGGTGAACAGGGTGCGTTTCATTCAGATGCTTCTGGGCCGTCGAAATTATCTCCTTTGGAAAGAACCATCCCCTCTTTGGGCTTCAGAGACCCAAATTGAGGCGCAATGATGAGACGATGTGGTGGTCCACTCTGATGTCAATCTTGAGGGCTAGGTATGTCCCAACTCTTATTACTACTAATTATTATAATAGCAACTCTATGTCGATTATTTATTGCATGCCAGGCATTGTACAAAGGAGGTTACATATATGGTCTCATTTAATCTTCAAAAACAACCTTATGAGATAGGCACCATTATTATTCCCATTTTCCAGCTGAAGACATTTAGACTCTGGCTTACAAATAACTTGGGATCACCCTGATAGGAAGTGTTGACGAAGGGGATTCAAACTGGTCCACCTTAACCATGCTGTTACCTATGTTTCAAAGTCTCCTTCATAAATTTATCCAACTTTTAAAATTCATTTACACTTTCTGCTTATATGACTTTTTTTTTTGCTATATACTTTACAGACATTCTTCTCTGCATAAATAAATATGGAGTAGTTTTATATTCGATGTATCCTGAAAATCTGTTTATTCATTTAACAAATATGAGCAGACGTTGTTCTAGGTGCTGGGTATTCAGCAGTGAACAGAACAAAGTCTGCCTCTTAGTGGAGGAGGTTGACAACAAGGAATAACAGAATATATTACTAAATAATAGGTAAATCCCAGTAATGTAGTAAGTTTTAGGGGGGAAATCAGGCTAAAGGGATAAGAGTGATGTGAGGATGCTCTTTTAGAGAGGATAGACAAGGAAGGCCTCTTAAGGGAAGACACATAGGCAGAAATTCTAATTAAATGAGAGAGGCAGCTGTGTGGCTTTCTAGAGGAAATCTATTCTAGGAGAAGAGAAATGGCAATTGCAGTGGCCCTAAGATGGGGACTTGATTGCCATGTTGCAGATGAAGCAATGAGACCAGTGTGGCTGCAGCACAGCCAGTTAGAGAAATGAGTTGGGAGACATAGGCAGAATCCAGATCATGTATCATCTGATAAGCCATGGTTGGATTTTTTATTTTATTGGAAAATGGTGTGATGCCTTGGAAGGATTGAGACAAGAAGTAATCTGATTTACTTTAGAGTGATTACTCTGGAAGCTGTGTGGAGAATAGACAGTAGAAACATTAAAAGTGCCCTTTGAAGCATAAATTGTCCTTTTACATAGCAGTTGTTCAACAGATAGTTTACTAACATCAGTGTTTCACCTACACCTTTACACCTATGCAACCACTTTCACATCCTCCACAAAGAGGAGATAGGGTCAAACATAGATCTTACCTTCATGTCTTTTTCACCTGAACTGAATTTTTGTTTTTATCTTCACTCTAGGACATTTTTCACTGCTTTTGTAGAGAAAGGAAGGGAGGGAGACTGGGGGAGGGGGCATCGATGTGAGAGAGAAACATTGACTTGGTTGCCTTCTCCTACTGGCCACAACTGGGGGACAAATCTGCAACTTGGATATGTGCCCTGACTTAGAATCGAACCTGTGACCATTTGGTCTATGGGACTACACTCCAACCAACTGAACCTTACTGGCCAGGGCTAAACTGAATTTTTCGGAACTGTCTAGGGCATATATCCAGATCTGGACATCATAGTTGTCAACAAACTGGATATGAGTTATCAATGTAGTATTGTGGAGAAAACAGTCCCACGTACTATGACAGTCCATTCATTGCAAACATTGTGTTCAAGCCCCTGAAATTACCCTTCCGCTTTAACTGATGTTAGGCCTGCTTTAGAATTCTAAGCCCCAGTTTAGTCATTGTGCTTAAGAAAGATGTACAGAAATGAAAAGGCCCAGTAAGAAGGGTAGCACTGATTCAGGTAGCGCTTTTCTGGGTTTTTGCCTTCAGTATGTAGTGGAGAGTGGTATCAATGATAAGACCAGCTGAAGGAAAAGAGATTTGTAGGAAAATAAAAGTTCTGTTTCAGATCCGTGTTTTGCAATCTAAATAAAAATAACATATGAATGAGTTTAGAGCTGAGAGGAGAGGCCAGGGCTAAAATTGTATGAATGTATCGGAATTGTTTCTTTGGATGTGTATCGTTTGACAGAGCTTGAGGACAGACACTGTGTCTTTTCTTCTTTGTAACCTCAGTGCCCAGAAGTGCGTCCTGGACGAATATTTGTGAAATGAGCAAGTAAAGGCAAAGGTATGGATGAAGTCACTCAGGCAAAATGTATAAGGTAAACAGAGAAGATACCCAGTCTATGCTTTCACTGAAGTTCAAGCACCAGAACATGACTTATAACTAGGGTGACCATAAGTTCCAGTTTGCTCAGGACAGTCCTGATTTATTCCTGTTGTCCCCACATAATTAGTCATATTGTCTCATTTCACTCTCAGAAGTGTCTCAGTTTGTGCAATAAATTATGTGGTCCCTCTTTTAGAAGGCCCTTCAGGGTCTGGTGTGCTCCTGTTTCCTGGTCATCACTGCCCCAGCTCACACTTCATTCTCCAGCCAAACAGAAAGACCTCGATTTTCCCTTATGTGCTCTGTTCCTTCCAGGCTCCCTTTGCCGAGGTACCTCAACTTCAACTTAGACATCCCTCCCTCAGGAACGTCTGTCCTGGCCCCCAAGTCTGGGTTAAGTAGATTTTTACATGCTTCCCGTGGAACCTGTATGTAACTTGTCAGAGCAGAGATGTCTTCTTGCTCTCCTCACTAAATATCTCTATAAAGGAACCTGAAAAAAAACTTCTTATTGCTTTTAGTCACAAATTTACATTAGGGCTAATTTTTTAAATCCTCAGCCAAGGATACGCTTACTGATTTTAGAGAGAGAGGGAGGAAGAGAGAAGAGAAAAAAAAGAATGTGAGAGAAAAACATTGATCAGTTGCCTTCCGTACATGCTCTGACCATGGGTCAAACCCACAACCTAAGGTGTGTGTCCTGCCTGTGAATCAAACCTGTGACCTTTTGGCGTACGGTACAATGCTCCAACCAACTGAGCCACCCAGCCAGGCCTTAGGCTAATATTTTTGAAGACAGAACTTGAGGACGGATAAATAGAACACACTCCAAGCCCTTTCATCCATAGTTAACTTAGGAGATTGACTTTTGAACTTGAAACACAACAAGGAAAATTGTGTTGTACTATCAGGCTCTGTGATGTGGCTGCCATTGACTAAGTTCAAAATATCCTAGCAACTCCTTTTCCACTACTAAGCTTCGTTAGTTAGAATCAAAAGTGAAGTTTCTGAGCCTCCCTCTCTATGGAACTGATTCTCTGCCATTTTTAGATATTTACTATGTCCAGAGTGCTGAAAGAATTTATAAACTTTATCTCATCTAATATTTATTTTTCTTATAAACTGAAGTGGCTTTTGGTGGTTTGGTATACAAATAGATAAAAATAGAAAGTTTAAAAGTCTAGCTATGCCTTCTAGGTTTCAATTTCCTCCCCTTTAAACTGCAAAGTATACCCAGTGTGAATTAGCCAGAGGTTCTGGTCCTGAAGCAGAGCTCTTTACCACTTACAAGGGCTCTTCAAGGCAAGGAGTCTTCCCATGATGTGCTCGCTGGGGAGGGCTTCACCCCACCAAAGGCCTATGCCTCAAGGGTTTAAGTTTTCAAGGCCCAGCTAGGGACTGGTTCTAGCCTCCTCGGCCTCTGCTGCTGCCTCTGGCATCAGGAACGTTGCCTTCTTCCTTCCTCCTCCCCTTCACTCCACACCTCTCTGTCTTTCTCTCTTTGTGGCCATCCTGGTCAAAAGAGTTAGGGAATCAGTCCCTTTCCTTCAAGGAAGTTCCTAAAGTGCTTCTTTAACTTGATTTACCCAAACTATGACCAGTCTGCAGAGTAAGAAATGTAAGGTTACCCAGAGCCATTTCTCCACCCAGTGAGGCTTGGCTCGGAGTGCTTCTGCATAAGTAGGAGGAAGCTAAAGATCTCAAAGGTGAACAAGAGCGGGGAAAATTTCTGCTGCATAGCCCTGTTGCATCCCACTGTACAGACAGGGAAAAATAAGTCTCAGGTAAAATCACTTGCCCAAAGTCATTCAGTTACTAGGTAGCACAGCCAGAATTAAAACCACATCTGTCCAAATGTAGCTCATAAACTGCCTCTGACTATTTAAAATGGAGGAGGTAGCAGGATCAAGAATTCACATAATGCTATGGCAATTAAGCAGAGTTTTCATGAATGTGAACCTTTGCTACTCATCTCTTCTGCCTCTTCCTCAGCTCATTTGACTTCTTTTTGATCTGCAAAAAGTGCAGGATATCTGTCTAATGAGTCACCAGGTTTTGGGTAGAATCCAAAAAGTTAGGTGAACTAGGAGTATATTGTTGCTGAGGGACTCTGTTTAATCAAAAAACTTGCAGATGCCCACTAGGCAGCCTAGCAGTGTCCATTTCAGCCCGATATACAGGGTATCCACCTTTTGATTGTCAGACAAGCTCCGAAAATGTTTTGCATCATTCAGTGATAGGCAGCCTATATTCTTTTGCAACCAGCAAATGCCTAATGTTTGAAATATGACTTGTAAGGAACCAGGCACAGTTTAATATAATTTAAAAAGTATGGACTTTAAAGCTTTCCTGAATTTGAATTCTGTCTGCACCCTTTACTACCTTCAAGCATTTTGGCAATAATGGAAAAAGTACTTTTTAAATTCTTTTAAAAAGAATTTAAGCAAGTTATCATCTGTGCCTCTTTTCTCCTCATATATAAAATAAAAAATATGTAATACCTAATAAGGGTTCTGTGATGATGTATGCATAGTCCTAGTTCATGGTGGGAGTCAAATAAATTGTAATTATAATTCTATAAGCGCTCAATAGGATAACCCTGGGCCTTGTTTAGAAGTTGTTCTAGGTCAGGTTGGCTAGTGCTTAGCATTAGAATTTTGTCATTATTGAAATAAAAAAATTGCCTACTGGAAATCTGTGGACTCCCAGAACACCAGTCAATGAAACAGAACCTTTTTGCTGCCTACTTCTTTAGCACCTTCCTCACCACAGAACTGAAGAGAGTGCACATTGTCTCACAGGGCAGATGCATAGCTGCAGTCGGGGATGATTAATCCAGACTTACCTCGAATGCAGAACAAACTCGGGAGCTCTGTCCCATTTGATTAATGTAAATGGTGAACAGACTTATATATTATGAACAGTTAACTATAAGACCATTCCTTCATCAGTGTGGTGGTTGCTGGGGGTGGGGGATATAAGGGAACGAAATGGTAATGGAAAAAAATGTAAATTATTTTAAAATATAAATAAAAACAAAACAAAGACAAAAAAGACCATTCCTTACAGAATAGAGCAAATACTTTAAAACTGTAATAAAATAAAACTTAAAACAAGGTTGATATGGTACGTATTTAATGATATATGTAATTGGGCTATGTGATAATTAGACCTTAAATGCTAAGCTGTTTACATAGGTGACTGTAATTGGTTATTTTTACACAGCCAAACACATTTTTAGTGTTTGTCCACTCACTTTATTAATTTTCTGGAATTTATAATTATACCAAGGACAACAGTTTTCCCTGAAAGCCTTTACTCGTGCACTCACAGACACAATTTTTTAAGCATTGTTTTTTAAAAAGATTTTATTCATTCATTTCTAGAGAGGAGGAAGAGAGGGAGAAAGAGAAGGAGAGAAACATTGGTTGCCTCTCGCATGCCCCCAGTCTGGGACCTGGCCCACAACCCAGGCTTGTGCCCTGACTGGGAATTGAACCAGTGACCTTTCAGTTCACAGGTGGGTGCTCAACCCAGTGAGCCACACCAGCCAGGGCTGGACACACTTCTCAACCAAAATTCACTGCTACCAATTCAGTGCCAATGGGAGTTCTCAACCTGGGGTGTGGTAGATGGAGAATCTTGGAGTGAAATGGCTTCGTTGAAACAGCTCAAGTGAAGCAGCTCAGGCGAAGTAGCCCTTGTTACAGCTTAGTGTTGCAGCTCAAGTGTTATAGTCCCCAAGAAGCAGAAAGTGCACTCCGTGGAGATAGGGGAGGCTGGTTTATGGAGAAGGAAGTTCCTGCCCCCATTGCTGATTACTCCATCTCTATGCAAATGAGGACTCCAAATTTACACAGTTTGATTGGTCCAAACCGCATTATTCCGTTTGGCCAGCTCACAAGGTCTGATTAGTTATTGTGGAGCTGCTCTGATATCTCAGTAAATGTGCAAATGAGGATATACCTGAACAACTCCGATTGGATGGGGAAAGTATCGGTGCCATTAGTAAAAGTACAATACCAGGAGTTTATCAAGGTTGGCTCCAACAACAGTGCAGTGCCGGCAGGAGCATAGCGCAGGAGGCTTGGCAGCTCATTGGTGGCTTTGACATGCAGGACGCATGAGAGGCCTCTAACAATGAATGTTACACTCTGGTTATGAATTTGGGTCCAGTTAACCACAAGGAGTCCTTGGCAGATGTGTTCTTTCTTAGGGTTGACACTCCAAAATGGCACAGCAGGTTTTCCCTCCCTACTTGGCACTAAAAATAGCTACTGTTCAAGACTCTGTGTGTATATATTCTCATTTTAGTCCTTAAAAACCTTTTTAGAGAGGTATTGTTACTCCCATTTTGCTGATGCAGAAACTGATGGCCAGAGAGCGTAAGCAGGCAGCATAGTAGAGATTTGAACTTCCATCCCCAGCCTCTAACCACGCTTTATGCAACCTCAGAACGTAATGGATTCAAGCCAAAATATGTCAGGATTTTTTTAGGGAATCCAAGGGCTCCTGAGAAATAGAGATTATGTACATTAGTTCCCCGTTATTTGCAGTTTTGCTTTCCACAATTTCAGTTATTGGTGATCAATCATGGCCCAATATATTAAATGGAAAATTCCAGAAATAAACGATTCAATTTCAAGTTTTAAATTGCGTGCCATGCAAAATCTCACCCCATTTCACTCTGTCCATCCTGGGACATGAGTCGTTCCTTTGTCCAGCATATCCCAGGTTGGGGAGGGTGGGGGCAGAGGGGTATCACATGTATATAACCTGCATTATGCTCTATTTTATAATTGTTCTATTTTATTATTATTGTTAATCTCTTAGTATACCTAGTTTGTAAGTTAAACTTGACCATCGGTGTGTATGTGTATAAAAAAACAGTGTGTGTATGTAGGTTTCGGTACTCTCTGTGGTTTCAGACACCCACTGGGGGCCTTAGAACACATCCTCCACAGATAAGGGGGACTGCTGTGTTCCTGAACACTAGTCCTGTGCGAAACACACTGCGGTCTACAGTGTGTTTCTAATATATTCTTCAACATGCAGATTTACCCATAAATAAGCAACTGTTAGGCTCTCAAACTCTGGGACTCTCACTGCCTCCAAGAATCTATGTTCATATTGCCTTCTATGGCTGCATTTAAAAAGCTATTGACACTTACATCTAGAAGTCCCACAAACCAGAACGTATTTCTTAAAAGGACTTCAGAGGCTCCCATTTTGAAGGACACTGCTTTACCAGCGTATATGTGACGGAATGACACAGTCAGGTTGTCAGCATGTTCCAACCCTATTCAGGTCTTAACAGCAGGAAGAGAAAAAAGCAGCCAATATAAAAACTACCAATATCTGTCATTGTCTTATTCTGAAATTAAACCAGCTGAGTAATGCACAGGTTTAATTTCAGAATGAGTTATTCAGTATTGTTTTTCTAGGTATTTTTAATGACTCTATAGTGTTGAAAAGAATTGCAACAGGCAGCACTCTCTAAATTGGGTGTGTTTTCCATTGGAAATCACTGAGCTTTCCAAGGTAAGCCATAAAGTACCTTGCACAAAATTTTTATTTGTCTAAGCACAGGGGAGAGACATTTTGGCAGAACCAACAGTTGGTGTGCCAACATCACATTAGGGAAGTCCGTCTGGCCTCCTCTCTACCGTGTATCACCGCTCACCCTTCCAGTTCCCTCCTTCCTAACTAGAAAGGAAATAATCTGATTCCTATATCGATACTTTCAATGAAATCCTGTCAGCCTAACCTGTTCATTCTTCATGGTGGATTAATTTTAAGACTTTTATCTCTAACTGTAGATAATAATGCAGTTGTCTCTTGGTATCCACGGGGGATTGGTTCAGAACACCCCTTGGATACTAAAATTCAAAGAGGCTCAAGTCACTTGTACAAAATGGTGTACTATTTGCATATAACTTATGCAAATAACTCCCTTATACTTTAGGTCATTTCTGGATTACTTGTAATACCTAATACAATGCAGTACCATGTAAATAGTTGTTTATACTGTATTGCTAATGGAATAATGACAAGAAAAAGAGTCTGTACATGTTCACTATAGATGTAACCATTGCAGGCCTAACTACATTGTACACATCAACAACAATGTAGTATTTTTTAAAAAATATTTTCTGTCTACAGTTGCTTGAATCTGTGGATGCATAACCCACAGATACAGAGGGCCAACTGTATAGCCAGGAATATAAGACTGTACAACTCAATTAAAAAGACTAACAACCCAATTTAAAAGAAGGCAGAGGTTATAAGCAAGAGAATACCTGAAGCAAATAAATATATGGAAAGATGTTCAACTTTACTGTTAAGCAGGACAATACACATAAGAACAACAATGACATACTACTATGTAGCCATCAGATTGGCAAACATTTTAGTCTGAGATTCCCAAGTTAGGGAGGGTGTGGAATAATAGACTCTCTTTACTGCTGGCGAATGTACTTACTACAGTCTCTTTGGAGAACCACATGCTATCTGACAAAGTTGAACAATGAGTTCTACTCCTTGGCATGTGTCATAGACATAGATATGTCCAAGAAAATTTATTGCGGAATAAATAAGTTAAACTGCCATATAATATTATTGTGTGTCTAGCTTATGTCTTCAAAATCAGTGTCTTCTGTTGAATGTTTGATTCTTCTAGAGAGCAATTAGGACTTTACCCTTTAGTGTGCACTGTTTATTATTCTTTTTTAATGCAGTAGGGAGCGGTAGTGACCTGAATAAATCCTAAGAGTCTTCTGGACATCATGTTATTCTGTGGAGACCATGACACTATACCTTTGAACATATCCTTTTCCATCCTATTTTAAGTTTTATAAAATAACTTAAAATAGGATAAAATTTGGCTGTTGTGATTGATTTTTATTCCTTTAGGGCAGTTACATAGCCTTCTCATTTGTTCTCATCTGTTTATTTTACATTTAATTATTTTTGCCCACTGCTTTTTTCAGAGGATGAAGTTAGCAACTTCAACCACTGGGTGGCGCAAATTCACAAGAGTCTGGTGGAAGTTCATTAATTACAGCCCAACATGCACCTGTTGCTACACTGTACCACGTGAAGGAGGGTTAAGTAGAAGAAAAAGGCTTTTTGCACCTGAACTTCAAGTATAAACATGGATCTAAATTCTCTGGGAATGAAAATTAAGGGAAATTTTTAGTATTGGGTGACTGGCAAGTCAGGTCACTGATTAAGGGAAAGAAAAGGAAGGGAAGGAAAAAGAAAAGTGTTGGAAAATGGAACAAGAAGAAAAATATCAGAAAAAGGTGTGTAAGTCTGGAGAGGCGAATTCAGGTGTCACCAACAGTTAAGTTACAGGATAGTCCTTCACTGCTTTGCATCCATCTGGTTAACCAATAGCAGCTTGGAGGTGAAAATTAAAGTTACTTCATTTTCTCCTAGAAAGTCAGCGTGACATCCTCAGCTATCCATTTAGTAGTGTGATGTTACCACACATTTTTTAAATGTCTACTGTGAGCATAGTGCTTTGTTGGATACAAAGTAATACAGGGATATACAGATATAGATATGGAGCACACACTGCAGCCTTCAAGCATAAGGACTATTCAGAAGTATATATAAAAAGCTAAGTGGCAACTCAAGGAAGATGAGGGCCATTCCATGAACTCAGAAATGGAATCCCTTCTGAGAGGGGAGCAGAGGGTGTGGAGGATCAAAGTGTGCAGGGAGGAGGGGCCATAAGACTGTCAACCTGTACAGGGCAAAAAAAGAGGAGGGCAGTTCCTAGCCCCTAGTCATAAGGGGGAGGGGAGAACAATCAGGGCCTGAGCCACCTTTAAGTCCCTCTGTGGTCAGTGGCCTCTTGCACTAGCCTGGCTGTAGGAAAGGAGGGATGCTAATGGCCTGCTCAGACCTTTCAGAGGTCCAGAGAGTCCCAGGTCATGTTGACTTTTTGAGAACACAGGTCTATCTAAAACGTGAACAAATGGCAAAACAGATTTAAAATTGTATATTTTAAGTGTTTACACTGAACAAGTTGTGTTTGAACACACACACACACACACACACACAACTATTAATGTCATTCGGCAATACCTTCAAAAGTTTAAATTGGAATTTTCTGTGAGTGTGGCTTCTCTGCCCTAAGCAACTTCTTACCTTAATATTTGCATCTATCAAAACGTATTGGGGTGATTTAGACCCTTAGAAAAGGTAGAATGACTTTCAGTCCTCTCTAAGGCTTGAAAAAAACACAACTTAATACTTGTGCTAAATGGGCAGGTAGTACTAATACATTAGCCAAAAAGGGGAGACAGCTTTAAAATGGTATGAAGAATATGATGTTATTTGTGTAACATATGTGTCTTTTTATATATAAGGATATGTGTGTCAAAGAGTTATACAAGGATATATAAGGCAAAGAGTTATAAGTCAAAGTGTCAGTGATTACCTCTGGGAGGAAGGATTAGGTATGATATTTTTTCTTTTATTCTTTATATTTTTCAGTATTTTCTGAAAATCGTTATAACAAAATGTACTTTAATAATTGAAAAACAAAGGGTGGCAACTTAATGAGAAAGAATTTGCAATAAAAACCTTGCTAACTAGTCACTTCCCAGAGGAATAGTTGACACTCCATTGAAACAGTGTTTCATCAAATCCAGACTATAACTTACTCTAGTGGTGACAGGGAGAACTGTGTCCTGCCATGAAGTGATCTGCAGACAGAGGTGCCCATCCCAAAGTCCACATGGGAGTTTTCCCTTCCCTTCTGCTCTGTGTCCCATCCATCCCTTGGTTTCCAAAGGTCTTCACTTTAAGAGAACATGGGGTTCAAAGTGATTGACTGATTAGGGAGTCAGAGAATCCTCAGCAGCTCCTTGCCTTAGCGGAAACAAGTTGTCCCCAAAACAAGATAAATAATTTTGATCCCATCAGTGAGTTTCTGTAAAGTCACTATAAATGTTACACAAATTATACTCTTGCAGAAGACTTAATAAATGTTGACTTTGCCCCAGGTTTCATCTCCTGAGAAATTTCCTGTTCTGGATTGAAGGACCTTCTGTGGTAGGCGAAGCTGGGGAAGGTGTGGATGAGTATAGACATCAGTCCTGGACCACGAGCTTCTGAATATAGAATGCTTCTAATCATCCTTCCTCATGGTTTGGGGAGCAACAAACTTTCTTCTCTTTTTTCTATTTCACAGTCAGACTGAACCACAGGTGGCAGGCTAAGCTGGAGGTCAAGTGAATCAGTGGAAGGGTCCATATAATATACTCATTTATCCAAGTGCAAGGCCAGTGCTTTGTCATTTTTACCTGCTATGTTTCCCAGGCTCTATAGAACTTTAGGATGCCTAGAAGATTTCTAGGGCTTCTGTGAAAACTACCATCATTCTGGCTTTGAATCTGTTCCATCTCTTCCAGGCTTGGCTTGAATGTTAATTCAGGGCTTATGGCGAGATATATTCCTCTGTTGGTACAGCTTTGAGAACCACTATTTTTATTTTTTGGAAATACTTGAAGTGAATGAAAGAAGGCTACAAGTTGTATATGGTTTTTACCAGAGAACTAAGAAAACAATTACTTAGAAACAGGCACTTCTCACCCGAACAAAATGGAATGGTTTTAGCCCCTTATGAAAAGAGGCAGGACAACAATTTTGTCCCTCCTACCATTCTCTCTCTCTCTCTCTCTCTCTCTTTAACCTAAATCCTGCTTTAACATCAGCTCTTTATACTTTTATTATTTTTTTTTTTTGGTCAAGCTCTTACTTAAGCAGCTCAGACTTTACTTGCACCTGTGCTTCCATGAGAAAGATCATCATAATCCTTTTGCTCTGGCATCCTCTTCAAAGTGCATGCAGCCCACTGTTATGGTAGGGTACAGTGTCAGACCCACTTCAGGAGCTCCGGGTCATCAGGAGACCTCATCTGGGTGCTATTAGTATGCAGTGTCTAAGCCTTTAGAGATTTCTGAGGAGGCCATTCAGACTGCTTAAATTCACATTCCCTTCACCAGTGTGTTGCTAGTTACTTGTGATTTAGCAGAGGCTAAATCATAAAACCTTATGACTGACTGTCAGCCTTGAGAAAACCGAAAACCCCCCTAAGCCAAGCTGAGAGCCAGTGAGCACGAAGTCAGCAGGGAAGATAACAGAGCAGCCGGTGAACTGTGCCACACTTGTGGCTGCTTTGCCCTGTTTGTAGGAGGCTCTGTTTAAACCTTTTGTCAAAGGGAGCAATAGGCCCATTCACAGTGCTTAGAGGGGAGACTTCCTGTTTCCATTTGATGGGATGAGAAGACACCCATTTTTGTGGAGGTCCAGAGTAAATCCCAGAGGCTAGTGACCACTAAGCCCAGGCTCCCCCTTCATTGGCCTGGCATTACCTTTTTATTGTAATGTTCTTACTGAAGATATGAGTGTAGAATTGGCAAGAATCTGCCTATCTTGATTAATAATAGGGAGAATGTAGAGTATGAGGCAAAGCAGAACTTTTCAGAAGTATGTCTGGTGGATAACAGTGATCCCTGCAGCTTTCTTTGAGCTTGAGTTGGGAGCATTTTGTCCAACCTAGGGATTGAAAGGAAAAAGGAGGGATAAAGAAGGATGCAAATGGGTATTTCTTTATGTACCAACAAGCGGATAGCTAAGTACAAAACCCTACATAATTCCAAGTACACACCGTTTTGCCTCTTTGCTACCCAGTGATTCCAGGGAAGGTTATTATGCTTACACTGAGAAAGTGTCAGCAAGGTGTGCTTCGTATGAAACCTACAGTTTGCTGGACCTATCAGCAAAGAAGCCAGCTACCTCTTGCTTGACCTCTTTGCCTTGAATGGAAAGGGCCCTGAGTCTGCAGCTACTTTGGATCCCAGATGCACAAGGATTCTACTTCATTCCTTGAGTCAGGACCAAACAATCTTGCTCTGTTGGAAAAGCAGCAGAGATCTGGGTCCCAGTGGACCAAAGATTTTTTACTAATTCCACTCCGCTCTCACTGCACCGACTCCAAGCCCTATCTGATTTTGTACGTACTTTCTAAATGCTAACCAGTTATGGATATAGATTGTAAACCTCTGGGAGGCGGGAAACTTGGTACATAGAAGTAAAATTGTCACTTTCAGTAAAGTTTTGTGGATGAATGAGCCAATAAATCCAGTATAGGTGAGCGCTGGCCTGCTAACCAAAAGGTCTCCGATTGCATTCCCAGTCAGGGCACATGCTTGGGTTATAGGCCAGGTCCCCATAGGGGGCACATGAGAGACAACCACACACTGATGTTTCTCTCCCTCTCTTCCTTCCCCTTTCTCTAAAAATAAATAAATAAAATCTTTTTTAAAAATCCAGTATAGGAATTAAAAGACCTGCACTTTAGTTCTGTTTCTACCAGTTGTGTGACTTGGGAAAGTCACATAACTTCTCTGAGTTTTAGTTTAAGTATCAGTAAAATGTAGATACCTGCCCTAGCTACCTCACAGGGTTTTTTATGAGGCTCAAACAAGGTAATATGTATAAAATTGCTTATAATTACTATTTCTATTACTTTCCTTATTAGTTAGCAACTTATTTTGTTCATGGGAAAAATTCAGAGTTGCTGCTTCATGGTTACCTCTAATTCTGAACTAAACTTTATGGTCCCCTTTAGGCCTATTCTTCCAATGATCAACAGAAATGAAAATGTAGATTGGAGTAAAGAACTAAAAATACACCACATGATAAAATCATACTAATTTACCTGAGCACACCATCCAATATTAGAAAAAATGGAATTATGAAAAATATTGTCCTAGACCAGAGATGCAGATAAGATGGCATTTGGGCACCTGAAGCTTTATGGTAAGAAAGATTCTGATGTCATTCTTGGGTGGAAAGAGTGCTGTGCTTCAGTTTTTGAAAAATTGAGATACAGCCCTGGCTGGCATAGCTCAGTGGATTAAGCGCAGGCTGCGAACCAAAGGGTCGCTGGTTCCATTCCCAGTCAGGGCACATGGCTGGGTTGCAGGCCATTTCCCTAGTGGGGGTTGCATGAGAGGCAACCACACACTGATGTTTCTGTCCCTCTTTCTCTCTCCCTTCCCCTGTCTCTAAAAATAATAAAATCTTTTAAAAAATTGAGATATAATTGACATACTGTGTAAGTTCTAAGTTTGCAACATGTCGATTATATATTGTAGTATGATTACTATTGTAGCTTTAGCTAACACCTCTATCATGGCACATAATTATCATTTCTTTTTTGGGGTGAGAACATTTCCGATCTGTATATTGTAAAGTATGATTGGCTTAGCCACTATGCTATGCATTAGATCTCCAGAACTTATTTGAATATCTTCTAGTTGTACTGTGCTTGATTATTGTTATGTGCAGCTGACACAGAATTAAAGGGTGGCAGCCCTAGCTGGTGTGGCTCAGTGGATTGAATGCAGGACTGTGATGCAAAGGATCGCTGATTGGATTCCCAGTCAGGACACATGCCTGGGCTGCAGGCCAGGTCTCCAGTAGGGGGCGTGCGAGAGGCAGCCACACATTGATGTTTCTCTCCCTCTCTTTCTCCCTCCCTTCCCCTCTCTCTAAAAAATAAATAAAATCTTTAAAAAAAAGAATTAAAGGTGGCAGCATGTGTACCATCCTATACACTCTAATATTTGAGACCCATTCTCAATGCTGCAACTCTACAAAAGTGGACACCTTCTCTAATTTAAAAAGTATTGGAGACCTTGTCTCTTTGCCTTAGTGGGCTTTATAGATGTTGTAGAGAAGGCACCCATCAATTTCTGGTATTCCAAGGCTGAGTCCACTCCTCCTGGGGAAACTTGATGTAAAGCAGCTGTGCTCAACCAGTGGGGTAGCGTCTGTCTTAGACACCGAAGGGCAATATGGATTTAGAATCCCATTAGGAAACCCAAGGGTAGGGAGGAAAGATGCTGTTTTGCCAAGTGTCAGACTGTGTTCAGGTGTGGTGGCTCCTAAACTGCGGTGTGTGTAGGAGTTACTTAGGGACAGGGATGGGCACCTAAGTGTGGGCTCTGGAGCACTTATAGTTTTAGAGGGGCTTTTTTTTTTAAAGAAAAAGAATACAAATTTTAAAAATACAAAATCAAATATAAGGTCCCATGGTCCTGAAGCGTAAGCTTCATTAATTTTACAGTAAATTCACCTCTATTTAGGGAGTGTGTTCAAAATCTTAAAAACAAAGTTCCTGGCCCCAGCTATTCTGATTCATTATATCTGGGGCCCAGAAATCTGTATTTTGAGTAAGTTCCACCTGTGTTGTGGCTGCACTGTTGTTAAGAAAACAACAGTACAAATAAATACCTACCTATTTCCTGACACATAAAAGAATTACCCACATTTGCTTCATAATTGAATCAGCTCCTTGTCCCCCAGAACTTATATGTCAGCCCCATTTTCTCCAAGCAAAGGACACAAACCACACAGAGAGCACTTTCCTTCTCCGGCTGAGAGGCAGGCTGTGATTCAGCTGCCTCAGGTTGTTGGCCTTCCTCCCTCTGCTTTCTCCACAGGCGCGGGCATTGGCATAGCTCTCTGGCTCTCAGGCATTGACTCTGAGGGGAGAAAATGACTGGTATTAACCTCAGGGGGCTGGTATGCATTTGTTTGTGTTCCAAACTTCATGTCAAGCCATTCAAAGAAAACCATGTCTTCTGAAGAAAATATTCTGTCCTATTAGCTCTACCCCCCCCCCCCCAGAGAATGTATGAATACAGCAAAAGAACTCACATTTAGCAAGGACCTCCTATGTGCTAGGCACCTGTCACACAGGATCTCCATTAGCCTTCATAGCCATCATAAGAGGCAGCTATCATTGTCCCATTTTAAAGATGAGGCAACTGAGGTTGGACAAGTCAAGCAACTTTCTCAAAGCCACTCAGCTAGTGAGTGTGAGTTGCAGGTCTGTCCAAACTCCAAAGTGTATGCTTTTATTACTATGCCAACCCGCCTCTGGAAAAGGAGGTTTATAGAGATCAAGCCCAAGGACCCAATACATCAGCAAACTTACAGGACATGGGACTTCAAAAATGACAAACACTGTAATGGCAAATGCACTGAGCAACAGAGTGACAGCAATCAGAAATTTGACCACAATGCTCCATTTCCACCTCTTCTCTAGGTCCTTGTCTGTGTCTAAAAGGAGAGAGAGCAGTAGGAGAGAGAGAAAGAGAATTTGAAAGAGGAAAGAGATCTACCCTCTGCTCTGAAAGGGTCCAGCTTGACTCAGAGGCTGGATTTCCAGTTCAGACTCAGAGTCAGGGGTGGGGTGGGCATCTCGGGCCTTGCTCTAATCTCCTTGGCAGCCTCTTCCCAGTGAGTCACCTTCCCTGCGATTTGGGGTTTTCCATGATCAATAGGACTGATCTTGCACTCCTCTTGAGGGAGGAAAAGGGGTGGGGGTGCACAATGAGTTCCAGACTCATCTTACGCCAGCAGCCCTGTCTGGGTCTCTACCTAGAAAATCATCCTCGTGGTATCAGTGGGCCATAGGAAGAACAAAGGTGAGTTGGCATTGCTTCTGGGTCATAAGCCAAATTTTGGGGGAAATGGCTTATACACATCCTGTTATTACTAATCTCTTATCTCTTTTTCCCCTGGTAGGAACTGGATGTAACCCAAAGTGAGTTACATCCAGAACTTAGAATTTGAGTCCCGGCCAATTTAGGGAAGGCTGTTTCTAAAGATAGTGCAGATGAAACATGCACTTGGTTGTTGTCATCATTATAATGATTGGTGTGTAAATGCTGTTTACAAATGCAATGGCTGGAATTGCCGACCACATGAATACATTTTATTCTCTCCCCGTGTTTGGCTACAAGATGAGCTCACTTGTTTGGAGGTAAAGCATTATTAATGCAGTAATGTGCCTCTTAACCCCAGGGATATGTTCTGAGAAATGCATCATTAGGCAATTCTGTCATTGTGTGTAAATGATAATGTGCACTTACTGTAACCTAGATGCTGTAGCCTGCTAGACACCTAGGCTATATTGTATAGCATATCATTCTTAGGCTGCAAACCTGTATAGCATGTCACTGTACTGAATACTGTAGGCAGTTGTAACACATTGGCATTTGTGCATCTAAACATATCTAGACCCTGGCTGGGTAACTCAGTTGGTTAGAGCATTGTCCTGTTATACCAAGGTTGGGGGTTCAATCCCTAGTTAGGGCACATGCAAGAATCAACCAATAATGCATAAATAAGCAGAACAACAAATTGATGTCTCTCTATCTTTCTCCCTCCTTCCCTTTCTCATAATTAAATATAAATATGGTCTTATTTATATTTAAAATCAATAAATAAAAATTAAAAACATATCTAAACATAGAAAAGGTACAGTAAAAATACAATGTAAAAGATAAAAAATAATACACCTGAAAAAAACCTGGTACAACTGTATGGGGCACTTACTGTGAGTGGGGCTTGCAGGACTGGAAGTTGCCCTGGGTGAGTCGATGAGTGAGTAGTGAGTGAATGCGAAGGCCTGAGACAGTACTGTACACTACTGTAGACTTTGTAAACACTGTACACTCAATCTCCACAAAATTTGTAAAGCAATATGAGATTAAATCGAGCACAAGAGGTAAGAATGCAATCAGAAGACACAGTAAACACGGGATGTATGAGATGGCTGCTAGCTTAATATGGCATACTGTGTTATAGCAAACTGTTTTACTCTTAATAACTCTCTAAAATAACAATAAAAGGTATAGTATAGTAAACACATAAAGCAGTAACAATCATTTACTATCATTGCCAAGTATTATGTATTGTACGTAATTGCATGTGCTGCACTTTTACACAGCTGGCAGTGCAGTAGGTTCATTTGCACCAGCATCACCACAAATGTGTGAGTAATGCCTCACGCCCTGACGTTACAATGTGATGGCAGGAATTTCTTAGCCCCATTGTACTCCTGTGGGACAACTGTTGTTCATACAGTAGGTCCATCATTGACCGAAATGTAGTTAACACAGCACCTGATGGCGGTGTCAAACTACAAACATTTCTGGGACCTTCTTCATACAGAAACTGACTTCTTTCCATAAGAAAGAGAGTGATTTTCTAATGGAAACTTTGTGTAACTTCACAACTTTCAGGAAAATCCTAGGAGACTCAGACTAGTGTTGGGACTAAAAATGCTTTTCTTCCTGTTCTTGTCTCACCCCTACTTATCCTGTACCTTGTGTCAAAGAGCTAGACAAATCATCAAAACTTGTAGTTTTCTTTCCTTTGTTCCCTGGAGTTATGGAGGTGGTAGCAGTGGGAAAGGTCTCTGACGAAGCTGTCATCACTGAATAGACCTTACATTTGGAGGTCCCTGGTAAAAAAGCTATAAAACAAAAAAGAAAGAATGAAAGGTCAACTGAGAACACTTTATTCTGCCCTTGATTTTACCTGACAAAAAAACCCTAGCTCTAACGAGGTGATACTGAGCTTCGAATTGTGGCCTTGTTGACCTGTCCCTAGGTTTAGGGTGTGAGCATCAAATAATGCCAAGAGTAAATGAGAACAGAGATACTAATAAGAGATAGGGATTAAAATTCCCATGAGGCCTTTGACTAATGTAAGATCAGAATGGAGGAGTAGGCCATACCTTGTTTACTTATCATTCTTAAGGCCATAATAATAATAAGGATGGAGGGTGTAACTCTGTTCAAAGTTTCTGTCTTCAAAAAGGTGGTTACAAAGTCCAAGGAAGAATATGAAATATAATAATTTGCCTTAATGACTGCTGCAAGTCTGTCTGGTGGAGTCTAAGTCAATGACTTTGAGAAGGGGCTGGGAAAAGCAGGGTGAGCTGGGAGAAGGAAAGACCACCCAGCTCAATTTCATTTGTCCAGCAAATAATTAAAAATCAGTATCCGTTATGTGCCAGGGACTGCTCCAGCACTTCGGATGCATCAGTTGCATACATGCTAGCAAGGGAACAAGTAAAGAGGAGGAAGGGTTGAGGGCGCAGCAGGGGATAGCAGACAACAATAAGTACAGTCACTTTATGGTATGTTAGAAGGAAATAAGTGCTACCCCAAAAATAAATAAAAGTAGAGGAAGGTAAGGGAGCCGTCTGGGGAGAGGGGGTGGGCAGTGTTTTGGCAACATGCAATATAGGCTGGTTTTATTGAGAAGGTGAGGACTGAGCCAAGACTTAGAGGAGGTGAGGGGAATAGCACAGCAGATGCCTGGGAAAGTATAAGTCCTCACTAATGTCAATAGGTTCTTGGAAACTGTGACTTTAAGGCAAAATGACATGTAATAAAACCAGTTTTACCATAGGCTACTTGATGTAAGCAAGAATTAAGTTCCTACAGCATATTTCTGCTCACAAAAAATCACCAAATTTCTAAAGACCCCAAACATTTCTAATGTTAAACATTGAAATAAATGTGAGCTCCACATACATTTATTAAATGTATGGGACAGGAGTAGGAGGTGAGGACCTAAAGGAAATGGGCCCACATCGCTGAGGGCCTTGTAAGCTAGTTTAAGGACTCTGGTTTTTATTCTGATGAAAATGGGGATCCATTACAAGGTTTTGAGGATGAATCTCTGTTTTTTAATGGTCACTGAAATAGACTGTAGGCCCTGCAGTGTAGAGGCACAAGGGCAGAAGCAGAGTCACCTGTTAGGAGGTTACTGCTGAAATCCAAATGGTAGAGGATGGTGACTCAAACCAGCTGTGGAAGTGATGAGATGCAAGCAGATTCTGGCTGTAGTCTGGAACTAATGCTACTTGCCTCCAGAATTGACCTAATCCTGTTCAGACAGTGGTTCCTATTCCATTTTTAATGGTCTCTTGCTTATTAAATTAAGGTCTGTAAGTCCTACTTGACATTTCTAAATTACTCTCCCATGTCTTGATTAAGTCCATGTGAAAATGATAGTTCTTTACTTCAGAGGCCAGGGGCCGCAGCACCAGGCCCTAAACATGAAATGACAGGGTAAGAAGTCATTCTTGATTTCAGTTTAATCAGGAAGACAGTGTTGGCAAAGACAGGCAGAGACAAAGAGCCACAGGTTCAAAGGAAAAACAGCAACAACAAGGGAATTCTGTGAAGTGTTTTCAGCATAGTGCCCAGTCAGTTCACCAGAGCAACAGCTTAAGTGTTTATAAGACAGATGGGATGAAGATAAGCAAATCTCACTTGGGGCAAGTCACATCAGTCCTCTGAGTTTTGGTCTCCTCGTCTGTAAGGTGGTTATAGTGAAATAATTCTTGGCCTGTCTGTTTCACAGGGGTGATATGAAGGTGAGAAACAAACAAAGATGAGAAAGCAGGTGTGCAGACTGAGTGCTATGACTGGAAGAGGAGGAAAAACCTAGCAGTCCTCTAAGGAGAACTGAGCCCTCAACAGGGATGATGGTGTTTTCCTCTGACATGTCTCTTTATGTCCTGGGGGCTCCTGTTTCAGTCTACTTTAATTGGCTTCATCTGTCATTGTATTTTCATTTCTGCATAGTTTCTGAGTTAGTGTCCATCCATGTTGGCAGTCCATCTCCTTTAGATCCCACCTGCTAGGTAAATGAGCGTTAAGGTGGGACACATTCGTAAGTACAGCTCTCCACTCCCGGTGATGATGTAATTGCAATACTAGCTTTTCTCTAGGAATATTTGAGCAAGAGTGCCCCACTTTGAGAAGATATACAAAAATCCAAATTTATGAAATGGATAATTTAGCAGATGATGCTTTGCTTTATTGCAAAATAATTTAGGGTGCATTTAAATGGAAGTCTCTTTTAGAGATTGTTCTGTATTAATATTAGAAGGTCAAAAGAGCGATTTGAGAGGCCTTATATATTGCTCTTGGGTTTGTCTTCAGATCTAGACTTGCACTTCACATACATAGAAATCAGACCATCAGGTCAAATCCCTCATTTGTTGTTACAGAAACTGAGCACTGGAGAAATTAGGTAACTTGTTAAAGGTGACCATAACTATCAGAGTAAACATTTGTTTAGTATTTCTCCTATTCCCATAGTTTCACATGGGGTAAAGAGACCATAGGAAGATGAGTGAGTCCTCTCACCAGAAGGATATATCAGAATATTTATGAGAGAGGATTTTTTCCTTGACCAAATCCCATAAACAGAAACAAATAGTCTCCATCTTACATTTTTCTGCATTATGTGTTGACCCACATCTTCTGATGACTGACTGTGTTGTAGTACATTTTTATCCCTACAATTTCAAATTCCTACTTTGCCCTGGGAACATTTCCATGAACTGTCTTCTGTTTCCGGGACAGCCTCTTGTGCAGACTGATGTTACCTATAGTGGGCATCTCTTTTAGGACCTTATAAATTTAACCATTTGCCTAATGTTTATTTCCTCCCTACATGGAGTCTGGCACATCTTGGTACTCAGTGTAAGTTAAAACTCAGGATAGGCAGTTTCAAACTTATAAACAGGGTGATACTTCAAAAGTTCATTCATAAACTGGTTGTTTGCAAGTTATCATTGTTCCATAGAAATGTATCCTGACTGATGGTTAGGTCCCCAAACTAATCCTACATCCATTTAATCTCCTTGCATAGCTCAAATGCAGGGGTGCCCAACTCCTAGTCCGTGGGCTGCATGGGGCCCAAGATGGCTATGAATGAGGCCCAACACAAAATTGTAAATTTACTTAAAAACTTTTTTTTTGCTCATCAGTTTCCATCAGTGTTTGTGTGGTTAATGTGTGGCCCAAGACAGCTTTTCTTCTTCCAGTGTGGCCCAGAGAAGCCAAAGGGTTGGACACCCTGTCAAGGTATTAGCTTAAACCAGCAATTTTCAACATTTTTCATCTCATGGCACACATAAACTAATTACTGAAATTAGCAGCATACCAGTAAATATAATTTTTGTTGATCTGATGAAAAATAGATATGATGGTGATTCATATATGGCAGACTGCTATTGTTATGTTGATTGTTGTAATTTTTTTATTCTGCACTCTAAGGGAAAAGAGGTCAGTGCCCCAGGCTAAATAATTAGGTATTGCATGTTTTAAAAATTCTTGTGGCACACTGGTTGAAAATATCACTGGCTTAACTCTTCCTCCTTCTCTGGGTTCTAGGCTAGCCCAAAGCAAATTGTTGAATTAGGTCAGATTGATCTTTGGCATCTCTCTTTCTACTTAATCTCCCAGTTTTCCTTGTCCAAAATCTCTAAGAGCTAGTGTCCTTAACTGCTGAGTCCAACACTGCATAGCACTACATCAAGAAAGATTCACCCTGTACAAATTGCTCTAGCCTCCCAAATGACTTAAGTTCACTATTACCGGTCACACCTGCCATTGACTCAAGGGGGGGTGTCTCAGGTTAGGAAGAGAACAATCTGGTTGAATTAATTTACATTAACATTGAGTGACTGAAAGCCCTCAAATACTGTCAGAGGATTTTAAGTTTTTAAGAGTTTTTTTCACACAAAGATGATCACTATGTGAACTTTTAGAAAATATAATAAAGGAGTGAAAACATCCATGTCATGTGAGGATATATGATATACTCTACCTGGGCCACATCCCAAGAACCTATTCACTTATTTCCCAGTCTCTAGTCTCTAAACAGATTGTAATTTTAAAAGTTTTTTTCCCATTCTACTTGTGAACCCCCAGTTTCTCTGTAAGTGTCACGTTTTATTTTTCCAGCAGTGCAGCAGTAGCATCTAGGGAACTGCTTGCATGTAAGGGGGAACTGCCAGTACCAATTTACTGATCACAGACCACTCGACAGAAGGAACCGGTGGGCGAAAGAATGCAGGGCAGAGGCCGGGAAACTTAAGGCTGAGGTCAAGAGCCCTTGCTCTGCAGCTGCGGGGGAATAGGCATCCTCAGTGTGGGTGGGAGTGCAAAACGGAACAGCCCTGTGGGGGGTAATTTAGCAGTATCCATCAGACTTTTTGATGCAGCACTCCTGCTTCTTGAAATTTATTCTTTTGATAAATTGCAGGTACACAAAGATGAATGTGTAAGATCATTCCTTGGAGCATTGTTTGTATTCACAAAAGACTGGAAACACCCAAGTAGGTGTTGGTGATAGGTGTTGGATCAATAGGGAACTGGTGATAGTACAGCCGTAAAATGTAATACTATACAACTGTTACAAGGAATGAGAAAAATTTATACAGATTGATATGGAAAAAGGCAAGGTATTGACTAGCGTGTATGGTATGCTACCAATTATGTTTTTAAAATATATATATCCATACATGCTTAGAGTATCTCTGGAAGGAAATTTAGTAAGTGGTTCCCTCAGGGATAGAGAAATGGAGGATTGAGAGAGTGGGAGTACAAGGAAGATTTACTTTTAACTGTAAGTCTATGTGGTTTGAATATTTTACTATGTGCTTTCAAAGTAAATCAAATTCAAACAACCATTGTCAGAGGAAGACCCATCAAAAAATGGAGATCATACAAAAATTGCAGCCTGACTGGTATAGCTCAGTGGGCCTGTGAACCAAAGGGTCGTGGTTTGAATCCCAGTCAGGTCACATGCCTGGGTTGCAGGTCAGAGGTGCATAAGAGGCAACCACACATGGATGTTTCTGTCCCTCTGTTTCTCTGTCCCTTCCCCTCTCTCTAAAAATAGATAAATAAAATCTTTCAAAAAACTGCAGCAAGTCAGGAGTAGAGGGGCCCTAAGAGGTTAGAAAACTGAGTCTCAGAGAGGACACAGATTTGCCCACGTAGAGGATAATCCATTTCCTTCAGGCATTAGCTGCTACTAAACTCTACCTGAATTCAGGGCTATGAAGCTGAAGTCACAAGTACCTCCGTCTCATTTTCCAATCTCACCTTTGCCCGTTAGAAGGGATCCAGTCTGAGACTTGGATGTGAGGGTTAGGTGACAGCTGGGGAAGGCAGAGCTGTTCCTGTGAGGAGCAGCGATGACTCTCAGGTTCTTTAGAGTGTGCTTGACTTTTGGCCTTTCCTCTGAATGCACAAGGTTGAGTCTCACTTTCCTCCCAGAGCTAAGGCACTGCAGGGTAGCCACAGTCAGATTTTGAATGAAGGTGGATCTGTTGGCTTCTGCCTGAGCTTCTGGAGAGAAAAAAGCCAGAGAGAATAAAGGAAGCTGGTTCTTAATTTGAATGGCTAAACCACTTTACTGACTTGTTAAACTCCACTGCTGTACTTTTTTTCTTTTTAGCTCATTTAATCATCAGCATGTGCTTATGGTACTTAACATACACGCCCTGCCTTTCTTCCTTCCTCCACGGGTCCCATGAATACAGGTGACTGCAGTAAATTCAGCCCAGAGAAATGCTCATAGGTCATCTTCTTCAATGTTGAGTGCAGCCTCCTTCTCTTCCTTCATACCTTTCTATGATTTTATAGTCATGCCTTAGGTAATAACAGTTAATTCAATAATTGCTTTCCAGAAAGCCTCTTGAGGGGATACATATCTTTAAAACAGGGTATTTGAGATCTAGGCTAGAAATGAGGGAGACAAGCTTCTTTTAAGAGTAAAAGTATTCTGGAATGGCAAAGTAATTTTTCTGAGGAAGGGAGAGCCCATTCCTTACCTGGCATTAGCATACCCCTGTTGCTTCTCACATCCTTTGGAAAGAGCCCAGGGAGCTCTTCCACTTGGCAACTGCTACCTCTGGGTTCTGGGGTACGGGGGAAGAAAAAGGTCAGGATTTTCTGGCTATTTACTGCTTAGAATTCCAAGCACTGGTAAGGGAGATACAAAAGAATGCAGTTCATTCTCATAAAACTTGCAATTGGTAAGATAAAAATTCCCCTCAAATATAATAAAGATTAAATTAAAAAGTAAGAAACAATAAACTAAAAAAAAAAATCCCCCTAGAGGACTTTAAAGTACAGGCAAGGAGGAGTCAGACTAGTATAAAGAAAACTGAGTGCTAATTTATTATCTTTAGAGGGGGAAAAGTGAAGTAGAAGTGAGGTCAGTGAAAGACTAGCCAACCTTTTCCTTCAAACAGATTATTGTCTCTTCCCTTTCCTGTTTCCTCTGTCTTCTTTTAAAACTTTTAAAAGTTTATTAAATGTAACCTTGGACAAGGTATCTTTCCAGTTTTTCATGGAACCATAGGTCATAGTTTTTCATGCTTTTGGGCACCTAACTCACAGGGTGTTGTGAGCTTGTTTCATTTGCTCAATTTGTCACTGCTGCACATTATAGTGTTTGACCTTAACTTTGGTGAGCTAATTATAGAGACAAAATGTTTAGAACACTTTGAAAAATCGTGTTTTAAATTAACAGGTATCAAAGAGTAGAAAATGGTGCCATTTCACCTCCACACCACGCATTTCTTAGCTCTCCCCTCCCAAGAGCATCCCCATGTATTTGGATGTAACACCTTAAAAAGGAAGACAGCATCTTATGAAGGGCTATGAACTTGGGGGCTTAGGAGATGATAATACTGGAACTGTGACAACATCCTCCAGGGAAGAAAGCCATCTAATAGGGAAAGGACTCTGAATGTTAGTTACATAAACAAGATAGAAGTCATCACATTCTCTGAAGACTTCGCACCGTGAAACAGACAGCTGTCTCTCTGGGGTGAAAAAGTTGCAGGCCTGCCAGGAGATACTTCGGGTGACTGGAAAGCATTGCCTACTGAGTATTGGCTATACCTCTATCTGCCAGAATAGACTCCAAACATTTTCTAGGCCTCTCTGTGGATTTTCCAGGATATTAAACTAGAGAAGCACTTACCTTCCTTGTTGGCATCATAGGATGTAATAATCAGGCTGAAAACCAAGATGGTATCCATGTTAGCTTGAGCATGTGCTCCTTGAAGAGACAGTCCCTTACAGCTTTGTCTCCAGGTGTTTTCTCTGCCCTGGAACCGAGTTTGACCCTGGGAGAGTCTGGTTCCACCCTAATTATTTTGCCTCATTTCCTGAAGACCCAGGAATAGAGCTGACTGGATAGAGGACCAAGTTTGCTTGTTAACGATTGACTCAGAAGGTCTTCCCTGACCATTGCTGGTGCCAACACAAGAAACTGTAATTACCTAGAGCTTTCCCTAGGAGAAAGGGCATAAACGCCCAGTGATATGCTTTGTAAATACTTGCAGATAGGCACGTAGACATTCACAAGCATGCTCACTGGCACAGGCACATAGATTTACACACTAACATAAAGAGATTTCTACTAAGGAAAGTGATTTCGAGAGCAGAGCAGGAAACTGGGACTGAATGAGTCAGTGAGTTACACTGGAGAAAGCACTGCACTAAGAGTTAATGGAACTGAATTTTAATACAGGCTGTTACTATGTCATCTTGAGAAAATTGCTTGATTTCTCTGCATCTCAATTTTTTCCCCTACAATTCCGACCAAATGATCTCTAGAATTCATTTACAGTTACACACATAGAGTTACATCAGCACAGACATACCTATCTGGTTTGTATATTCTTACACTCCTGAAAAGTGAAATGAGTGTAGGTAGATCACCTTCCCATGATGATTGGGCTCAAAAGTCGTGAAGAAGAGCTAAGTACCCTAGGTGAGTGATACTGCCTACAGTTTGGGAAGGTTCTCCTAGACAGATAACTGTTGTTGAAGATTTTTCAAAAATCACATATTTTAGCCCCGGCTGGTGTGGCTCAGTGGATTGTCCACAGGCTGTGAACCAAGGGGTTGCCAGTTTGATTCCCAGTCAGGGCACATGCCCGGGTTGCAGGCCAGGTCCCCAGTGGGGGCCACGTGAGAGGCAACCACATATTGCTGTTTCTCTCCCTTTCTCCCTTTTTTCCCCTTTCTCTAAAAATAAATAAATAAAATCTTTAAAAAGATCATATATTTTAGTAGTACTCTATAGATACTGTGATAGCATGGCTAACTGGATCATAAAGCAGAAGTGAAGATGTACTAAGATCCTCTGCTGGAGTCCAGATCCTCTGCCAAAGTCCAGAGCCTCTGTGGTCTTTCTGCACACTGCAAATGTACTCCACTGGAGCCAACACAGGTTTGGTCTGGATGAAGAAGTGTTTAGAGGCTGTCAGTCTGATTGATAATGATGAATAAGGAGCTTGATTCAAGGGACATTCCTTGAGGGAGTTCATGAGATCTGAATCAAATCATGATTTAAATGTTACCCTGTTGCCTGACATTTTTTTAAAAATGTATTTTATTGATTATGCTATTACAGTTGTCTCATTTCCCCCCTTCTCTCCCCTCCACCCTGTACCCCCTCTCCCACCCACGTTCCCCCCTTTAGTTCATGTCCATGTGTCATTCTTATGAGTTCTTTAGCTTCTACATTTCCCGTACTATCCTTGCCCTCCCCCTATCTATTATCAACCTACCATCTATGCTGCTTATTCTCTATACCTTTTCCCCCTCTCTCCTCCTCCCACCCCCCTGCTGCTAGCCCTCCATGTGCCCTCCATTTCTGTGGTTCTGTTCCCGTTCTAGTTGTTTACTTAGTTTCTTTTGGTTTTGCTTTAGGTGTGGTTGTTAATAATTGTGAGTTTGCTGTCCTTTTACTATACATGTCTTTTTCTTTATCTTCTTTTCTTAGATAAGTCCCTTTAGCATTTCATAAAATAAGGGCTTGGTGATGATGAACTCCTTTAACTTGACCTTATCTGAAAAGCACTTTATCTTCCCTTCCATTCTAAATGAGAGCTTTGCTGGATAGAGCAATCTGGGATGTAGGTCTTTGTCTTTCATGACTTGGAATATTTCTTTCCAGCCCCTTCTTGCTTGTAAGGTCTCTTTGGAGAAATCAGCTGACAGTCTGATGGGAACTCCTTTGTAGGTTACTGTCCCCTTATCTCTTGCTGCTTCTAGGATTCTCTCCTTCGTTTTCACCTTGGCTAATGTAATTATGATGTGCCTTGGTGTGTTTCTTCTTGGGTCCAACTTCTCTGGGGCTCTCTGAGCTTCTTGGATTTCTTGGAAGACTGTTCCCTTTGCCAGATTGGGGAAGTTCTCCTTTATTATTTGTTCCAATACGTGCTCTATCTGTTGCTTTTCTCCTTCCTGTTCTGGTACCCCTATAATAAGGATGTTGGAACGTTTAAAGGTGTCCTGGATGCTCTTAAGCTTTTCCTCGATTTTTTGAATTCTTATTTCATCATGCTTTCCTGCTTGGTTGATTCTATCTTTCCTTCTGGTCCACTGCATTGTTTTGAGACTCAGATTCCTTCCTTTTACTATTGGCTCCCCTCCGCGTATCTTCCTGCATTTCTTTTATGGTAACCTGCATCCTTTCATCTAAATTGCGCCCAAAAAACCAATCAACCAATTCCGTGAGCTTTCTGATCACCAGTGTTTTGAACTGTGCATCTGATAGATTGGCTATTTCTTGGTCGCTCAAAAGGATGAGTCCTGGGGGACTGATCTGTTCTGTTGGATACATATCTTATGTCTTTCCCTGTCTCTGGTCGCTCTTGTTACGGTGAGGGGCGGAGCCTTAGGTGTTCACCGGGGCTGGGCACCCTGGTCACTAGATTGTGACATTATATGTGTGGGCGGGAGCGGGAGGGGACAATGGCGATAGTTTCTTTCTCCCGGGCTCAAGCCCTTCCTTGGGATCCTGGACTGCGAGCTCTGCCCTGGTCCACAATCGCTGCCCCACAGGGTCCGCCCGCCGCAGCTTGCGCACTCAGGGATCACCGCTGCGTTCTTGCGCCCCGATGGCTGTCGCGCCGATTTCGCGCCAAATTTTCCCCGACCTCCACGCGCCGCCGACCCGCGCCAGCCCTGCGCCAGCCCTGCGCCCGCCCGGCTCGTCGTCTCCTACCAGTCTGGATGTACGGGTTTACTTCAACTTCTTGGCTGTCCGACTTCCATTCAGATAAATCCTGTCAGTTCTGAGTGATATTCTGTCTGTAAATTATTGTTGTTCTAATCTTGGTTGTGCAAGGAGGCACCGTGTGTCCACCTATTCCTCCATCTTGCCGGAAGTCTCCCTGACATTTTAATTCAGATTGAAATCTGGCTAAGTTGAGCATCAAGGGAAATCTTAGTGGGAAAACAAAAAGGAAAGAGATGTCACAGAAGGTCATCGTGTTGCCTGAAATGTGGAAGGAAGAGAGGAAGTGCTGAACATGCACCCACAGTGCCTTTCATTTAGCAAGTATTATTATGGGCCTACTGTGTGCCAGGCACTATTCCAGCAGTGAGCAAGACCAAGTTTATGTTCACATGAAAAGACAGGAAGCAGACAAGAAACCTGGTGACAAATAAAAGAGTGCACAGGGCCAATAATAAACAGCATACAAATACATATACAAGATAATTAGAGATTATGGTAGTTGTTGTGCAGCAACAAACAGAATGATGGGGTAAAGGATTACTGGCAGATGCCACTTTAAGTAAGGTGGTCTGGGAAGATGTCTCTTGAGGAGTCTAAGAAAACCAAGAGTGTATGTCATAGAAGCCAAGAAAGGAGAGTATTTCAAGGACAGAAGGAATGATCAGTTGGTCAAATGCTGAGAGGTGTGTGTAGTGAGAACAGTGTCCACTGCATTTAACAGTCCTGTAAGAATGGTTTCAGCAGAGTGGTGCGAGTGAGAAAGGGCTGAGAGGGAGTTGGAGGTAAAGACACGTACATAATCTTTTCAAGGCACGTTACTTGGGAGTAGAGAAGTGAGGTCAACTGAGAAGGAACATAAGTGCCTCAAGTCCTTATTGGTCTAGAGCAGCACTATTTCATTCCTTTTTTCCCTGCTACAGTTTCCTGATTCTCCTAGGGCAGGTGGGTAGGGATATGGCTTTTGGTAATTATTTCTGTAACAAGGTTACATGATTCTCTGCTCCCTTACAGTACCAGACACTTCCACTCTGTCGCTTTATTTCAAATTTTCTGTGGATCAGTTCCTAGTTACAATGCTGCCACCTTGGAGCAGAGGTAGGAAATGATCTGAGGCCTTGCTACTCTCATTCTATGTCACAAGGTGGCAGAAGAGCTCACTCTTCCCTAAAGAGATCTTGTGCTTGGACCAAGATAAAGGGTAAGCGTTTTCTTTTTATCAGCTCTCAGACCTCCCCTTTTCCTTTGTGTCTCAGAGGCCTAAAAGCCAGTCTGCATGTTGTAGCAGCCACTCTGTGGGGTACAAGGAAGTGGGAGAGCTACATTAACAAGTCAAAATAACTATCAGTAGAGAAATAGACCCAGGCTGTTTCTCTACTACTACATATTTTGACTGGTTTTCTAAGTGTTTGGACTGTCTGTGGAGGAGAGGTTATCTCTCCTGATCTCCTTTCCCTACAACAAAAATTTTCAAATTTCAGAAGAAAAAAGCTATCACATAGGTGAGTCTTATGATGTGTACAGATGAGAGATAGGAAACTGGGAGGTATTAGGAAACTGGGACTGACTAAATGAATCAGGGTGGATCTGTAGGAGGAGCACTTGATAGGAAGCCAGGAGGCTTGCCTGGGCTCTATATTAGACTGACTTTGAGTAAGTCACTTAACTTCTCTGGCCTGTTTTCTTTAATGAGATGATGGGACAAGATGGTTACAAAGGCCTCTTCATGCTCTAAAATTATTATCTCAGTGCCACACTCTGCTGCTCTTTCTTTTAAGGATGTATACTTTTTATTTGAGTTTATTTTAAATTCTCCTATTTTGGAATACAGCGTACAGATAGAAGAGTATACAGAACATAGTATATTTTAAAATAGTAACAACAATAACAACAATAATATGGGCACACATAACCATCACCAAAACTAAGAAACTGAATATTGCCTGTATTCTGGAAGCTCTTTGTATGTCTGTCCTTTTGATTACACTCCTTTCTCTCCTCCCAATCATTATTTTCCACAATTTTTTAAAATAGTAAACTATCTGTATATGTATCATTAAATGTATTTTATTTAATTTTGC